TTACGGCAATAAGAGTGCTCATGATCGGTAGAGAATACTTAGGCGAAATTATAGAAGACATATCGGGAAGGATTCCAACAATTGAGAAAATCATAACTCTAGACCTCCTTAATCTTGCCTCTAACGCTTAGTATCTTTAGTTATTAATTTATTATTTTAATTTTTTAGTTAGTTATTTAAACACAAGAATATTAATATCTATAAGTTAAGAACTATTGAAGCTTGTCTTCTGGGTGATAGTGAACAGCTGTAGCTAAGCCTTAGTTCTCTGTGGGATTCGACTCCGGACTTGTAAATCGGATTATATTTGCAACGACCGCATTGTCCTTTTATAATGCATAGTTAGGCGTGATCAACACTCTACATAATGAGAGAAGCAACTAACTTAGATGATATATATGGCAAAGACAGTCGATTCACGTGGAAGATGAGAGAAAGAAAATAAATACAATCAGACCACTTATAACCGTTACTCTTATCTTTTATAACAACACTTTAATATGACAATCAAATTTTTGTTGAAACCAATTTTTCATATTATGTTATAATATATGTTTTCTATATTAATACTTTATTATGACAGTAAAAAAAATATCAGAACAAACGTGAGTATCTATATATATATTAAAGCAAAGAAGTTGCCATATATATTTGGCATTATGGTTAAGCCAAATGGCATATGGAGAAAAAATCACTTGGCATTTTAAAATAAATAATTGGGAATAACTTAATGACAATCCATATAAAGAATTTGAATTGATAATCCAATTCTCATCAATGAAATTTCCAAATGGTAACTTTGTACCATAATAGGAAAGGAGCTTATATATTGGAATCTGGTCGCAAGTACATTTATTAATTGGATTTTCATCCAATTAAAATTAAGTACTTAAAAAATTAAATTAATAGCATTGCTTTGGTGTCAGATTAATTGAATTTTACATGTATACAGATTGAAAGCCAAACTTCTTAGCATCGATGTATATTTTTGAAGAAAAAAATAAAAATATTTTAGTAATGTAAAGTTATTCCCAAACTACATTTTATATTCATACCGTTTTCAAATTATTACACAAAGATCAAAATTACACAAATGAATTTGAGCTAAATTACATAAATGGAGGTGACCATCTAATATAAGATTGGTGATTTTATGGATGATTTTGAGTTGAATTTTATTTACTGTATATTTAGGAACTAGAAATTATGGAAGGACCTTTTGAGTTAGTGGCACTAACTAAATAGAGAGTATCAGAAGTTTTATAGTAAATTAAAACAGCTATGTATACTCTGGAAAAAAAATTATAATTTAGTTTTTAATGTGATAATTTGAAGATAAAAATATTTGAATATAAATATAATTTTTGTTTTTGCTTATGGCACGTAGAAAAGTAATACTAACAACATCAGTAGTTTTATGATAAAATCATAAAATATGAGGATAGTCAAGCTTTTTTGGTCAAATATAAAAACTTTTCATTTAACCAGTAACCATTTACAGCTCCTCTAACTCCTTCTTGACTTAGGAGTTAGACTCATATAACATTCAATAAAACAATAAAGCCTATCTAGAACAAACTAACAGAAAGACCCCAGCTTTTTCTTCTTTTTTCTCTACTTCTACTTTCATACAGGAAAACTATCTATTCCTTCTAATATCTTCAACCATTTAATCCTCTGTTGTCCTCTGATGTGTAGTTGAAGAACAATGTCCCTTATGATCTTTTTTATGTCTGTCTGCTTCCCCTGAAACCTGCGTACATTCCTTTCTATCCACGTGTGGTATATTACGGCTGCATACAGAAATGCCAAAATGCTGTTTCGGGGTCTGCCATTTTTTGTTCTTTTCATCAGCCACAATACTTCCTCATCCCAGGTACCAATTTGATGTCTTTCTCCCATCCAGTTGAGTAATGTGTTCCACATGTTCCTTGAGAATTGGCAATCAAAGAACAAGCGCTGCATTGTTTCATCTTCTCCACTATTGCACAGTATGCATCTCTTATCTACCTGTATTCCCCATGTTGCCAACCTATCCACTGTGACCAGCCTGTGGTGTAGTGCTAGCCATAGAATGAAATTGTGTCTAGGGATAGTAGTACCTAATATTAAGGCTTTCCACCTAACCTTTGGGTATTGAGGTCTCGATAAGGTGTACATCTTCTGAATATTGAACTGCCCCTTTCTGCAGAACTTATTCATGTTTGCAAAAGAGTCTATATTCAGGTACCATTCTCTAATATCGAACACCTTCCTTACCAACCAGCTTCCTTGACTTGGAGTCCTCATCGTATGAAAGTCCTGCTTCTTTATATAGACAACATGAATCCATTTGATCCAGAGAGCATCTTTCTTTGTATGTATTGCCCACATTTGTTTGCACACTGCTGCTTTATTCCACCATGTAAAGTCCATGACATTTAGGCCTCCAGCTGAAGTTGGCATACAAATACTGTCCCAGGATATCAGTGCTCTCTTTGAAAGTATTTGGCTACCTGTCCATAGGAATGATCTGCACACAGCATTCACCAATTTTACAATCTTCTTTGGCAGCAGAAACACTTGACCCCAATATGTTTGCATCTCGAATAGCACATTTTTGATCAGTTGAACTCTGCCACTATAAGATAGGAATTTTGAGGTCCAACACTTGATTATGTTGGTGATCTTCTCCACTAATGGCATGCATTGTTGTATTGACAATTTCCTTGAAGCTAATGGTACTCCCAGGTATTTAAAAGGTAGAGCTTCCAACTTGAACTGATAGGTAGTCTTGATCATGTCTTTGAATTCCTGACTGACTCCAGCTACATAGATAGAACTCTTCTCCAAGTTAGCTATGAGTCCTGTCACCTTTGAGAAGTGATTGAACTTGTCCAGTAGTAATTGAATGGAGACTTTATCAGCTCTGCAACACATAATCAGATCATCTGCAAAACAGATATGAGTTAGGTTAAGCCTGGCACATTTTGGGTGGAAGTTGAAGTCTGGAATGTCTTTTAGAGTGTTCAATGTTCTGCTCAGGTATTCCATAACAAGGACAAACAGGTAAGGGGACATGGGATCCCCTTGCCTTAGTCCCTTCTTTGCTTGGAATCTATTAGTAAGCCCTCCATTTATCAGGATTGAGTAATTCACATTGGTGACACACTCCATAATCCACCTCACCATTTTGTGTGGGAACCCATATTCCTGTAGCACCATTTCTAAGAAAGGCCATTCAACAGAGTCATAGGCCTTCCTTATATCCACCTTTATAATACACCTGGGGGAAACTCCTTTTTTGTTGTATCCCTTAACCAATTCATGAGCAATAATCACATTGTCTAGTATACTTCTTCCCTCTATGAAAGCTGATTGAGCATGTCCAACAATAAGGCTCACCACTGTTTTCAATCTTGCAGTAATAATTCTGGCTATAAGCTTGTAGATAGTTGTACAACAAGCTATAGGTCTAAACTCCTTTACATAGGAAGGGCTGGAAACTTTTGGCACCAGAGTAATAGTAGTACTGCTGACATTCTTCAGTAATTTCCCTGATTCAAAAAATTCTTTGACTGCTTGTATTACTTCCTCTCCAATTATGTGCCAGTACTTCTTAAAAAATTCAACTGGGAATCCATCAATTCCTGGTGCCTTGTCATTTGGCATACCTTTAAGCTCTTGCACAATCTCTGTTTCAGTTACCCTTGTGACAAGTTGCTGTTGCTGTTCTCTATTCAAACAAGTTCCACTCCTGGCAATATTGACATCAAGGCATGGTAATTCAGTAGCCCTTGTTCCCAACAAATCTTCAAAGAAAGTTATGAACTCCTGTTCTACCAGCTTTGGTTCAGTAATCCTGTGTCCCAGGTCATTGCATATAGTAGAAACTCTATTTCTAGTCTGCCTTGCTTTTAAATGGACAAAGAAAAATTTTGTATTAGCATCTCCTGCAGATATCCACATAGCCCTTGATTTCTGCCTGTACACCTTTTCCTGGATTCCTTCCCATTTCTCTATTTGTAGTAGCAATTCTTTCTCCTTCTGGATCAATGATCTATTGAATAGATCATCATCAATTTCCTTTTGAACTTGCTGTAGCTGATCTTTTAGTCCCTCAATTCTTTTGTCCACTGAGTTGAAAGCTTGGTTCATCCCCTTTGCTTTGTAGCCTAGATTCTGCAACTTCTGCCATACTGAGTACATAGCATAACCATTAATGTTTTGTCCCCAGACATCTTGAACCATCTTGGTAAATTCATCCTCCTGCATAAGCACTGTCAGCAATCTAAATGGTTTAGGCAAAGAGTTTCTTTTTACCTCAGTACTCAATAGTATGGGAGAGTGATCAGAGACACCATAATTCTCATAGATTGCCTCTATGGTGTTATATTTCATGAACCAGTTAGGATTCCCTAGGGCCCAATCAATGTTGCTATATATTCTATCATCAGCTTCTCTTTTATTACACCATGACCATTGGCACCCTTTTCTATTCAGTAGTCCCAGGCTTGTATCCTCAACACAGGATTGGAAGTCTATTACCTCACTATGACTTACTGGATTTCCATTGAGTCTATCATTTACAGACAGCATTGTATTGAAATCTCCTAACACAAGCCAAGCCTCCATCATGTTGCTGTTTATCTGCCTCATCTGTTGCCATATTTCCTGCCTTTCTGCAATGGTATTATATCCATAGATGAAAGTCACCCAACAGTGGAATGTTGAGTTTTTATCTCTAACTTCACAGTGAACCATTTGAGCTCCAGCATGAATTATAGTTAAGTCTATCTGTTGTGCTTTCCATAAAATCCATATTCTCCCATTGGGATCATATGAGTAGTTTGAAAATATGTCCCAATCCCCAAACTTCCTTCTAACTTTCTCCTTATTCTTTATCTTAACTTTTGTCTCAAGGCATCCTAATAATGTTACTCTATTCTTCAGCAGAAAGGCCTTGAGTTCCTTCTGCTTGTAGGGCTTATTTAGCCCTCTAATATTCCAAGAGCTGATGATCATGGAGGGTGGGCAAGAGGAACTCTTCCCTTAGATGTTTGGTTAACATCCTTTCCTTCTTTTATCCTTAGTGCCTTAAATCTGTTCTGATGTAGGAAGCTTTCAATGGCCTCATCAGACATACTCCTGATGGAATTTTTTGTTCTTGGACTCTGCACCTGCTTCCCCTTTGATTTGGCTACCTGGAACTCTTCCTTTTCTTGATTTTCACTTCCTGTAGTAACCACTTCTTCTGTAGTAGTCACTTGTGCATTGTTACTTTCTTGTTCCTGGGCCTCCCCTGTAGCTTTTGGTTTGGCCATCCATTTTGTCTGTAGTTTTCCTCCCCTTTTCTGCTGAATATCTTTCTGATTTTTGACCATAGTTTTAGGCTTTGTCCTCACCTCTGCTGGGACTCTACATTCTCCTGTTCCATGCCCAATCACTAAGCAATCCTGGCAATAGTTGGGATGCCAGTCATAGCTTAGTTTTTGTTCCCTATTATTCCCTTCTGCCAATTCTATCAATATTGTCTCAGGTAAAGGCTGAGATACATCCATTTCAATCAGCATACGGGCATAAGAAATTCTTGCTTCCTGAGCTGTCAATTTGTCTGTACAGATAGGGTTCCCGATTGAGCTTGCAATTCTTCCTAAATTCTCCACTGTCCAGAACTTTATAGGCAACTCCGGAAAATTAACCCATACTGGGATATTCTTTGTATTCTCCTTGCTCATCTGGAAATCTGGATCCCATTTCTTCAAGATCATTGGTCTATTATTGAAGGTATATGGCCCATTATGAAGTACTGTATCTCTATCCTCATCCGATTCAAATTTGAATATAAAATAGCCTTCATCATGGATTAATACCTGAGGGGTCGTCACAAACTGCCATACCCCATACACAAATTTCAGCATCTCCTTAAATTGAGGGGATCCGCCTATGACATAGCCAATTAGACTAGTGCTCCACCTTCTACTTTGCTCCTCCACTTCTACTTGGTTTAGTCTAACTATTTTCTTTCCATCCTTGATAATAGGGGGGTAATAATTCAGCTTCATTCCTTGTTGAACAGATCTATTACCTTGGACTATCTCAGCTAGAGTTGGCTTGGTCGTTGTTGACGAGAAAGTCAGCTTCCTTGCTGCTGTCGCTGCATCAGCTTCCTTAATCGCTAGATCTGCATGTGTCTCTTTCATTTGAGCTATCGGAGCTTGAATCTTCACTAGCTCCGTTGGGTCTTTCTTATCCTGTCCCTGTATAATCGTTGGTGCACTACCCATGCCTTTCATCCAATGGAACAATTGCACCGTTCACAGGGCTTGAGGGATCCCTGTTTCCGGTGTAACCATCCTATTGTCGTCATCTTCAGCCTTCTCTTCCTCTTCGTTGTTCTTCACCTGTGCCTTAGTGTTTCTCTTCTTCTGTCTAGCCATCCCTAGCGGCGTAGGTTAGCAATCCTTGCTTAACTGCGCCGAGAGAGAATTTACTTCTTTTTGTTGCTTAACGTGTCGGATAGTCAAGCTTAATATTAAGTTAAGTGGCGTACTGAAAAAAGTCACTTGGTATTTTAGGGACAAAATCCAAAAAATATTTAGAGACAAGATCTAATAATAAGCAAGGCAAATTAGATTAGTTCAAATTTAATTTAAAGGTAAATCAATTAAGATTGAATACTATTTTCGTTGCAAATAGATTCAAAAACATTCCAAAAATAAGAATTTCTATTTTAGTAATTATTTACTAACCACATACTTCATTTTCTTCCATTTCATAATTTTTATAGAAACATCATGTAAGTAAAAAGTTGAGATAAGATTTTTTTAATAAAAAAATTAGGATAAAAACATACGCTTTAAAAAATGAGTAATAAGCAAAAGTTACTATTGAATAACTTTTATATTTATTTGTATTGTTCTATAATGTGTATGGTAAAGATGAATAGTAAATGTAAACATCTACTATAAGGAATAAATTTTCCAATTTTAATTAAGCCAAGTGGCAAATTATAAATAAAAATTTATTAAGAAGTCACTTGGGAAACTTATTAATTAAAATTAAACTAGATGTTGTACTATACAGATTTTTCGGGAAATAAACATTCAATCATCTCATTTATATCGGCTCTTTATAGAAAATTTTCTTTATATAAAGTTAATTATATTTTTTAGGATTAATAAATTAAAACACCTATCGTACATATATTCTATACCTTCTTATCTCTATGTCTTACTTAAAAAATTTGCCAAAGAATTAATAAATATAAGATTAATTTATATATCTTATATTATTTTCTTAAGCCATATTAACTCAATTCTTTTTCAAGCTTTTTAACTGAAAAAACAAACAAATAAAATCTTCCAAGCTTTTGAATAGGAGAGGAAAACTACAAGGACGAAAAAAATACCTCAAGTTTTTTGTAACGTATAAGAAAATATAAACACATGCTCCTTTTTTGTCTATTATTGAATTAAACACTTAATAAAATATATAAAATTTTATGGTAATAAAGTAATATAAGAAGATATGGTATAGATAGTGTGAGACATAAATTAATAAATAAATAAAAATCCATATTATTAGCAAATTTAAATATTAATATGAGCAGTAGAATAAAAGAATAAAAGTAAATAAGAAAATCTATATATATATATA